CTGAGCGATCAGGCTTTTAATTGAACTTCATAGGTTTTCATGGGCGTCCAGTGTGAATAACTGTACAGCTATCTACACTATATGGAACACGGCCCTACCTGAGAACATGGCAACTGCTCAGCTAAGGACATTCCCAAACTTGTATGAAACTTAACGGCTCATTACCGTCATCTCAAAAGCCCGGCACTGTTCCCTATCCTGAACCAGGTGAGTCAAGTCTACAATCTCACACCTTATTTCCCTATGACCCAACTCATAACTCCAAAGTGGCTTTCCAATCGAATTTATATATATATGCATGTATCATCTCTCTCCTGGATATTACATGATCCGCACTTGTCCTTATCCACATCGTAATAATATCTGGTTTCTTGATCCCTTTATTTTCCTCAGAATTCTCTTTTCAGCCATCCTTAGTCCATAAGGCTATGCTTCCCTTAGAGTGAGAAGCCAAGATGAATATCTACATAAAACAAAAAATAGAATTATACACGTAGTTTTCGTGTTCTAATTTTTAGGGTCTTATATCTAAGGCATGAACCAGACGCTAATTCCAGAATTTAAAATAAAATCTTAATTTTATGGAGTTGGAATAGAATAAAGAGCTTAATTCATAATGGTAACATGACGATGATAATGATGGAGATGGGAAATGTGACATTCCTTTTCTTTGTGGCAGATTCCTCTGGAGTCAACTGCAGTATGGAAACTCTTCTCTGGATCGAAATGTAGTTAAGTAAAGTCCCTGGAAATAACGACATAAAGAAACGCATATGCAGTTGATTATGTGTATAGAACGTCACCTCTGGACTCACATGTAAATACAGACTTCTTTTCTGAAGTCAACCGTGGATACGAAACTTCTCTTCAGTCGACTGAAGGGACGGAACATCTTCTCTGGATTCAGATGTAGGCTCAGAACATCTTTTCTGGGAGTCAAATATAGGGACGAAACTTCTCCGGAGTCAACTGTAGACACGGAGCTTTTCTAGCATCTGCTGAACATACAAGATCCATCAGTTGCAGTGTATGATGGCGTCAACCGTTCCTATTCAGACAAATGGAAGAGATTTCAATGAAAGTTTCCTTGCAATGCTCACTTGCCATTCATGTGCTCTTTACTTATCATCTCCGGTTTATCAATGCTGGGATGGGCACAGCTTCTGTTCCCGCTGCATTTCAACTTGTCTGAACTGTCCGAAATGTCAAAAGAACTTCATTAAGAGCCGCAATGTGTCTCTAGAGATGATAACACGCAACTTTTTGTTTCCTTGCAAGAACCGTACAGAAGGCTGCGAAGCGAAGTTCAAATTGCAAGAACTGTACCAGCACGAAGAAGTATGTCCACGTCAGAAGTTGTGTGAATGCGTCATAAGAAAATATGACGGTAGAGATTGCCCTTGGAGAGGACCATGCTCAAACATTTGGCTACACGTCAAACAAACACACCCTACAAGGTTACTTTTCTGTAAAAATATTGAATGTGTTGTTAAAAACTTTGATCCTATTGACATTTTCTCATCTGTATTCTTGATAAGAACTTTGGGCGAGTCATTTTGGTATTACATCAAACAAGATAAGGGGAACAAATTCCTGTGCGCAGTTCAGTATATTGGTTCTCAGCACAGAGCTTCAAAATACAAGTACGAAATTGATTTCTCTTCATTAAGCCAAACGGAATTTAAATTAAGTTTCAGCAGGTCAACTCATCCTAATGACAAAAAAATAGAAGATATATTCAATTCTGAGCAATGCATGAGTTCAAGGTCAACAATGCTAAATAATTATTTGTGGGAAGACAAATCCCTGCATTTCAAATTCAGAGTAAAGCCAGCTTAAACAAACGTGTGTACTGATGGCTCTTTGGAACTCTTTCCGAATAAGAGAATGAAAGCTTCATATTTCTATAGAGAAAGTGGCATTCTTCATGGACACAGCATCAGAATTAGCAATATGAAAGATATAGGTCATAAATGTTTTGCCCAACAAAAAAAAAAAAAAGAGATTTTGATAACAGAAAGAAACTGACAGTGGTGATTGTTAATTACAAATTAAGTTTACTAACAACACCAGATTCGTTACATTTTGAATTGCACTCGTTTCAAACAGATTTCATTTTTAACTTAATTTTTTCCTTACAGCCGAAAAAGTTTTAATGCTATATATCCGACGGATGGGGAAATTTATAACTGCCTGGTACCATGCTCACGTCACAGTTCATTAGCAATAATACATTATGCTAGTTTCCACGTGGATCCACTACAACCTGATAAACATTTTAGAGAGTTCTTCAGTTCTGGTCTTCAGACTAGTCAGTCTATCAGCACCTGCTCACGCTGGTTACTCGCTCTCGGATTTTATTTTTTTCTACCCTGAAGATGGAGGCGATACGTTCCTCCTAAACGTCGGTTAACACAATATCTACACGGCGCCATACTTCCAGAAGACGGCTTTATTCAATAAATGGTAATTTGACACTATGTAAGAAATGTGGATAGAACTGAATATACCACAGGCTACTGCAGCTGATAAACTGGGGGTGCAGTAAAGATTCACGTCCGGTGATACTGGAATGTTTGTTTGCGACACACGTACGATAGGCTAAGACTGGGATATTTTTCCTCGTACTGCAGTAAAGGTAGGGTTATCTGCTATGCCTGTCCCCTCTGAGATCACTTTAAAGTGTGAACAACAACAGTAAAGTTCCCGTTACGGCTGAGCTGTCTCCAGAGGTAATATACAATTATTTAATTATTTGTAATAGACTGAAGGAAATAATTAATAAGAAAATATTTCTTACAATTAGTTAAAAAGGCCTACACTTTGGAATGTTTCTTATCTTTTACAATTTCGCCAGAATAAAATCATTCCATTTAAGATATTTCACAGAATTTATAAGGCAGGCCTAAAAGAAAAAAAAATTACATGCGGAATTTTAGCCGGATTAAATAAAGAAAAAATATCACCTGTGAAATGTATAGATAGATAAAAGAGGATAATATTAAAATGGGACTTAAAGAAATAGAGTGTTGGGTGTGGACTGGACTCATCTTGCAGAGGTAGACTATTTTGAACGCTGTAATGAATACTTGGATTCCACAAAATGTGATCAATTTTTTTGGCTAGTTGAGCGAATATCAGCTTCCAAAGAAGGAATATTGTCCATGAATTCAGTTCGGATATTAAATAATATGAAGATGGCGTGACCTCTAAGAAATTGGCATCCACAAAAAATTCGATAAGCATCGGTCAATTACTTCAAATGTCGAAGAGGGAAAGACTAACATATACTACCACCTTGTTCGTTGAAGCAATAATCACATATCACTTCCGCACTGAAACTACATACAATAAATAGTAAGGTAAATTTGTCTCTCTACTCAATTAATTAAGCAATACTCCATGAAGACGTATGGGGGATGGACATATAGCTCAACAATTCTTGGATTATACAGAGGTGAGTGGTTAGCTTCAAGCCCCTGCCGCTTTACCCGAAGGAAAGAGACCCCACTACCCATTGGATAGGAGGTTGGGTGGGCCACTGATCTGGTCTGGACGTTGTGGAGGAGAGAACAATCTGTTGGTCGTGCCGTTGAACCCGCAGCAAGTCGCTATACCGACTGAGCTATCGCAGACTTCTACACAGGCCTATGGGACAAGATCATGAGAGGCACAACATTGCTGCAAATTTCGCTATCGCTGTTATACAGCTGAGTAAGACTTTATTGCTGCAACATCGTATATTCATATTGAAGAAATACTCTACTGGAATCTATATCGACTTATCCATTTCTCTGACAGAAGTCTTTTGTGTTTTTCCTAGATCTGTACAGGCGAATGCGAATGTAATAGGACTTATTTTGAAATGATAGCAACGGTCTTCTTCCATCTTATGTGACGTAGTTGCCTTTTCTTAAGAGATGATACATGAAACACACTCGAGGTCAGCAGTACCAGTCCCACCATACACTTTAATGATGAATGTTTGAAAGAATTAATTAATTTCTCTTTCAATCGACGACGTTCCTCCAATAACATGAAACATAATTTTGTGTATCACTTCTCTTCAGAGCATAACTTCTTATCTGTTTGCTATTTGAATATCCTAGTATGTGCTCTATTTTTAAGCCACTTGACATATCTGTTTTAAATTTCCTACGGGGGATCTCACCTTATATTAAAATTGTCAGGCTAATTTTATTTCTTTTTAATTCACCACAGCCCCTCCTTGAATTGTGTTAAAATCGAAGTGTTTAATTTTTATAAAATGGCTTAGTGTATCAAAATAAATGTGTGACGTAGACACTGTTTCATTAAAACCTATTTTCGTTTCATGTATTTTTTGACATGGCGAAAGTGTAATCAGATACTAAGCAGATAATGGTTAATGACTCCACGTTGATTATACTTATATCTCTAGATTATATACTTACCTGTTGTATAAAAGTTATCCCTGAAACAGGCCGTGGTAGCCAACATGGTTGTGAGACGTCGAGGCTCCCACATTTTCTAGAATGTCGGCTCACAAATGGCGGTGAGATTGTCAGCCATATGCATTGGTTGGCCACCCTTTAACCCCAGGAACATTCCTGGTACTCATTTCTATCAGAGGCTGAATCTACTCCCAGGGCCATAGTGCTGTCGGAAGGATTAGGTGAATTGAAAAATCCAATGACTTTCCGGTTTGTAGCATAGTACCTCAACTAACTACGCTACCGCGAGCCACACATATCTGCGGTAACCTGTTTTCTTTTGCTAAGTCTCGAATTTGAATCTTAGTCTGTGCCCCGGCTGTTTAATACAGTGTTTCCGTCACTTTACGCAGATATCCCAAATACATACCGAAATCGTACATTAAAATGAACCCCCGCTGCTTCATCCCCCTTCCTTTCTCAATCATTTTTCATTATCATCTCGATCTGAGTTGGTTCGAAGTTCCTGACTGCTCGTAACGTTTTATAGTGAATGCAGACCGGTCAGCCAGACACCCCGATATCCGGATGACAGATAACGTGTACAAGAAGATGTGTTCCAAAACGACAGATGCCAAAGGGAAGTCTTTATCAGTAAATAGGAGGCTGATAAGCGGTAGCGTTGAGGATGGATTAAATCAATGTCTACTCAAGCTTTTGGAGTGCCCAGTATGTTTCGAATATATGGAATCACCCATCCATCTGTGTAGAAATGGCCATAATATTTGTCAGAAATGTAGACCTAGACTCAGCAACTGCCCTGTGTGCAGAAAGTCTTTCCTGCTGACGCGCAACTGCGCTCTCGAAGCCCTGGCAGATCAGTGTCTGGAGCGGTGCGGAAATGTTAACGTCGGCTGCAATTTCAAAAGGACGAACGTCCAGGACATCGAGAAACACATGGAAGTCTGCTCCTACAGGTGAGTTTACCGTGCATTGACTTCGAGGCCAAGAAGTCCAATAACCAAGATATCATTAGCCCACAAGTGGGTCTGCTGCTACAACAAGTGGGTCGAGGATTTCTGAACCATGAGATCAAGAACAAAGATATCTAGGATATCATGGAGGTCCGCTGCTATAGGTGGGTTGAGCTTATCTGGACTACGAGGTCACGGAAACGAGAATCCTTAACAACATGGCTGTCTAGAACTACAGATGGGTCGTGTAAATCTGGAATACTAGATCAATAAATACATTTCCAGGATAACATCGGGTCACGTCGAAATCTGCTCCTCCAGGTGAGTCTAGAATTCTAGTACATCTTGTGTCTGAGAAAAATCTGTCATGAAGTTCACTGTGACGCAGTATTACCGTCTTGAAATTTAACATCTAAACTTCTGCTTTGCTTTGAAAAATTTGAGGATTTCACGGAGGTGACTATGAAGAATGTCGTCTTTTAGGATATTGCGCCGTGTAGACGTACGTATTTCCTCCATCTTCATCCTACCCTGAAGATGCAGGCAATACGTTCACGTCGGTTCACTCAAGATCTACACGGCGCCGCACCCCAGGAGACAGCATTATTTTGCTTTTCTTGTTTACTCACTGATATTTCTCTGATATTTTCATTTTTACTTACAGTGAGTAACAAGGGTCAAACTGGGAGCCGGGTCATCTCAGTTGGCATAGCAACTGGGCTATGGGCTGAACGGCTGAGGAGTTGGGGTTCGATTCCCGAAAGGGGAAAGAGATTTCCCTCTGCTCCATAGTGTCCAGACCGACTCTGGGGCACATCCAGCATTCCATACAGTAGGTATCGGGAGTAAAGCAGCAGGGTCATGAACCTGACCACTTACCTCCAACTAAAGCCAAGATTATGAATCGTGGAACTATACCTCCTTTCTCCGTACGTCTTCGTGGCATGGTGCTTAATTAATTAATTCTGAAGAATAATTTTAATTTAACAGCTGTCAGATTTTTGCAGGCGAGTGTTTCATACTTGGGCCGGATGCTAAATTTTCTTTCTGAAATTGGATGTGCCGTGCTATTAGTCAAGATTAAGAACATTTTACAGAAGGTCATCAGACAAAAGTTTTTCCCTGCAGATAGTGTAGCATTTCTGGATCGACAATCTTCCCGAAAGTAGGGGTGTTGTGTAAATCAGCAAAAACTGTGTTGTGAAAAAAAAAGGTAAATACAAATATGTTCCTATGCTTACTTAATTAAACACCACGCCATGAAGACGTGTATGAGAGTGGAGGTATAGCTCAACCATTCTTGACGGAACTGAGTTGTCAGCTTCACGCCACTGTCTATTTATCACCTGGGAAATGTTTGGATATTGTGGAGTGGGAAAAACTTTACCCTGCGCGGAATCCAACCCAAAGTTTCTAGCCCGTAGGAATACCGACTGAGCTATCCTGACTCCTCTCTGTGTTGTATAAGTAGAACACCAATATCCAGGTATATGTTGTGCGAGGTGGAGATTACTTGTAAGATTTGAGGCTTTCACGGCGGTGACTATGAAGAAAGCAGTCTTCTGGGCTTTGGAGCCGTGTATATGTGGTGTTAACCGACGTTTCGGAGGAACGTATCGCCCCCATCTTCAGGGTTGAAGAAAAAGTATAGGTAAATCTGCAAGCGACAACACCGTGNTTGGAGATTACTTTCTTGTTTATATTTTGCAGGCTATACAAATGTGAATATGGACGACCTGGTGGTTGCTCTTGGATGGGAAGACGCTGGCAAATCCTGGATCACATGCATGAAGATCATGAAAGTATTACGATACTGCTGGAAAATAACCACTGCAAGATCAAGGATTTTCTTCTTTACGACCATGACCTCACAACTCAAGTGATCATGGCACATGGGGAAGTGTTCTGGCTCCGTCATCGAAAAGATAGCTCCAAATTTAAATTCTTTGGGGCCGTACAGTACGTAGGAGCAGAAGAGAATGCAGCAAAATACAGATATGAAATTAGATTTGATCGGAAGAATCCTAGTGGTACGAGATTTAAGTTCGTTAGAAACACACATAAGGATACCGAGCTTATTAATGACATATTCAGTTCGGAAGATTGTCTGTGTGTTTCGACTCTCATCACAGAGAGATTTGTGGGGAAAGATGAGACCCTGCATTTTATTCTTAAAATAAATAAAAATTGATTAAAATCTGCAAGATCACATAGCGAATACAGAGCACAATTTGCTGAATAATATCAAAACTTCAAATTAAACTACTTTCCAATTAAACACGTTGGTCTGTAAACGAGTATAAGACTTCTGCCTGATTGGTTGATGTTAACTATTCAGATAAATAGGAAATATTACCAAGATGGAAGCTTAAATACGGTAAAAAGTAAAAAAAAAAAGTTCTCTCTGTGCTTAACTAATTAAAAACTAAGCCATGAAGGCTTATGGGGGAGTGGATGTATAGATCCGCATTTTCTTGACATCGGCACTAGTTGGAGGTGAGTATTCAGCTTCACGCCCCTGCCGCTTTACCCCCGGTGAAATACCCGCCGTACCCATTAGATACGAGGCTGGGTGGGCCCCCAGAGTCGGTCTCGATGACATGGAGAAGAGAAAATTGTGAACCTACCGGGACTCGAACTCCGACCCCTCGGTCGTCCAGCCCGTAGCCAGTCGCTATACCGACTGCGCTACCCCGGTTCAAATTTTAAATACGGTAGTTGACATTTTGAAAAGAAAGAGTGTATGATAATATTAAGGTACTGATTCTAAATTGTTTGGTTTATTTGTATGTATGTATGTATGTATGTATGTATGTAGTGGGAATAATAGACACTCATGGGCTAATGAAATGCACAAAGTCGATTCATGAAAGTCTTAATGTTGTGAAACACGGAATCTGACAAACAGATTATAAACTGGAATAATTTTATTAACTTAGGTCCTACTGCAGGCTACAATAAAATTTGGATATAAGAAATGAATTGGGAATATACAAATTTAAAACTACATACAATTTGGAAATGAGAGTTATCACGAATACTTTCTTCTGGAATATGTAAGTGAGTTTAATTTTATGAAACAAGAGGATAGAGGAACAATGAGCTGCCTTTGTGAAAGAATGGTCAGTTCCGAAACTGGAACAAATTTCACGAATTGGTCTCTGGATATGGAAACAATGACGACGTTTACGCTAAGAAACCGGGATGGCTCAGCCGGTAAGGAGAACAGACTACGGACTGCACGATCAAAGATTCAGGATTTGATTCTCGGTAGGGACAAGGGATATTGTCTCTTCTCTAAAATATCAAGACCATCTCTGGGGCCAACCGAGCATCCTATCCAATGGGCACAGGGCCTTGAGATCAAAGATACCTGAGCGTGAAACTGAACACTCTCCTCCTAGTGCCGGGGTTTAGAAGTGTGGAGCTACAACTCCACTTCCCCGTACGTTTTCATGGCTTCGCCTTTATTAATTAAGCACAAGGATAATTTCAGCTCTTTTACTTTTAATGCATTTGCTAAATTGAACCTGGGCTTCTATGAAGGTCTCTGATTCGAAACCAGAGGGACCAAATATAGAATCCTTCATATGTTTCCCGTCTCTTAAACTTCAACAACTCCTCACTTTTCGGATGTGAAAAACCCCGAGATATAACTGTGGCTCGGATCGAAATATTTTCCTAAAGGGAATGAGGAAGTTTATGAAAGGGCTCAAGATTTTTGGCAGCTGGCTGAAGAATCGAACTCGGGATCTCCAAAATACAATCAACAAAATGTTTTGTAGGCCATTCGTGCTTGGGTGTGTGTATAACAAACAAAACCACTAAAGTGGCTCCATTTATATTTGTGACTCAGAGTCAGCATAAAATTCATGTTGGGAGAATTTAATATCTAACTCTGTATATTACCTATAGCTTAATATCTTATTTATACGAAGCAGAACTCAGATTTATTGAATTTCTCAAGAACCAGGCAAAGAAATGTTGCTTTACATAAAGTACAAGCACAATTCTTTGACGTCTGTTATTCTTATTTGAAACACGTTTCAATTTAGTTTAGGCCTATATTTAACGATTTACAAATAAACATAATTTACGCCTGCTTATACTGTTACATAATTAGTGACTAGAGACGGGATTTGGATTGATAATTGAATTTACTGGATTCTTACAACTCGTGAGTACAAGGAATTACGAGTAAAGACCTTAAACTAACTCACACACTTTACATTTTAATACAGTAGGCACTAGATCTTCCACAGCTACACATGGCGTTGCTAAGCAACTGCTTTTGACAATGGGGATTCCTCCGCCTCCCACGCTTCCGCCAGGTGGCAGCTGTCTCACAAAACTTCCGACTCGGGATCAATTGAATTGCCTGTAGAGTCAGAGTCAGAATCAGAGCCACTTTGCGACTGGCGGTCTACCGTCTGGTAAATTGTTGCTGGTCCTCGCCAGCGCATTCTCGGATCCGAGTTCCGCGGTACTCATTGTCATATTTTACTATTTCAGATTCAAGGTTCCCCCAACCTGACGTGTCAGGTCCCTGTATTTATATCTCCCAGGAACTGAGTAGCCCAGTTATAACCCAAGGCATTGAGTTCCATTTCGTTGCCTCCTACGACTCACAGGCTACGATGGAGGTATTCGAAATAGCCTTCACGTCGGTTTTAATATATTCGGTCGGTTGGTCAGTCGGTCGGTTTAACTACTGCGGGACTTTGTCAGTACAGTCATTCCTGGCTTCAGCCTCCTCTAGCTTCATGACCAAGATTTTTATTCTCTCCTACACATGTACATGTTGCGAAATGGGATCTCCTCTTCGACGAAGGAGGGGTTGGTTTTTCTGTGTAGGTGCTATGTCGTAGTTTCAGCAGTGCATATCTGCAATGTCACGGCTAGGTCACAATATGAACTTCAATCTGAGCAACTGAAAGCGTCGTCAAAGAAGTCAAGTATGAATAGAATAGCCCTAAGTTTCTTTTAAACATCTCCGACAATATAATATTGTCACGTACCTGGGGTTTAGTATGGCTAATAAGACGGGTTTCTGGATTTGATGATCGAATTTATTAGACCCTTATACAACTGGTTACAACAGTTCACAAATCACTATCGGACACACTGTCATCTTCTTGCGACTGGCACTCCACGGGAACTGTTCTGACTTCCAAAAGAACTCCTCCAGTACTCCGTTGTACTCCCTCTGTTCTTAGGAGTGTGACCTCTTATAATTTCTCTGCACGGACCACACAAAAATACTGTCTTCTCTTCTCAGGAATTAGTATTTATTGGTCCTTTACCTAGTAATAAATGTCCTTATATTTTTGGAGCTTAACTTTGGGAATATGTTTACCGAGCCGTTGCCTAGCAATAGGCACGTGCCTCACAATATGTAACTCAACTGAGTTTAGCAACTTTGCTTTTGTTAATACTGAAAAGCAAATATTAAGCTACATGTAGGCTGCGTTCAATAAACGAACCGCAGAACCAATCGGCAATGCAAAATTTTACTGCAAGTATGTCTGAAAATTCCGAGCTTTCTACTATCAGCATGGCTGGCTTCGTACCAAGTTCACAAAATCAGCTACTCTCTTTATAATGATATCCGTAATTGCATCAAGCTATGATTGGCCCGACAGGCACATGTAGAACATACCTCTAAAATTTGTATTTCGATAACAGACAGAATTAATTAATTTTATAAGCTGGGAATTATTTACACGGCGAAAATAAATTTTCGTCCTAGACACCCAGAATTGAAAATAGCTTTTCAGAAGTTCGTAGATGTTACACAGAAGAAGAAAACCCCCCATAAAATATTTTAACTCATATTAAGGGGCTAAAGGAATCTATTATAACGCAGACTCGGAATTTGTTCCTGGAGTTCGAGTTGTTAGAAATCATGGTCATGACAACTTAAGGCACTGAAAATATCTTTGTCAAGAAGAGAATCACTCTTAACCGAAGTAGATGGCTATCTCCTTGTTCACCTACGCCCATTTCCACTCCTATTGATACCTTTCACACGAGCAGACATCCAGTGGGGATGACGCAATTCGATGTGGATAGATTTCTTACCAGTGGACGAACTTGATAAAACACGAGATAAGAACATATGTATCTCAGTTGTCCATCCCTGATAATTCTCATGAAGACAAAGAGACGATTTATGTCTCACGTTCCTTTCGGAAGTGGCGTTTCCGTGTGAGTGAGGAATCCACAATGAAAATTCGTGCGTGAAGTAAGAAGAGAGAATATTACATGCGTCCATTATAACCTGACGCATTCTACTTTGTAAATGATCGTTTCTGATAGTGCTCTGCCCTATACTTCTACCAGGTGTAAACAAATAACTTAACGTATTGAAGGTAAGTCGAAATACTAATTTGTAGTAGATAACTAATGATAGTAGAGAGGCGGATAGAAGTGAGCAGAAGACGAGGAAGAAGACGTAAGAAGATGCTGGATGACCTTGGGGGCAGAAGAGGATATTTTCATTTGAAGGAGAAAGCTCTAGATCGCATCAAGTGGAGGAACTGTTTTGGAAGAGACTGTGGACCTGTCGTCTTGACAGATTACAGATGAATGAATGAACTAATGATAGGCCTGCGTCAAAGGATCTTTATTGAAAAGCTGATGGTTGTAAAGTTGTCCCTGTGCTTCAGCATCCCTCTATAAATGCTTTTAAAAGCTTGAAGTTACAGTTACCACAGCCTAACAGACATTTGCTACATCTTATGCGCTTAAACTGCCAATGTTACCACTCGTTCATAGACAAATTCTAGTTTCTCTTGCTTCATAATAGGCTGCAGTGCACTAACGTTTCTTGTACAAGATGGTATTGACAGTAATTCGTAACCTGCTACTTTGGTTGAAATTTATAGATTTTGGCAAAAATATTATCCTTTTTAGATTTGCTGTGCACTGCTCACTAAAAGTAATTGTGTATTCTTGTTGGTGAAGCTTCCACAAAAATGTCACACATCGTTCGACTTTGTAAGGCACGGAAAAGTGCTTAGAAATCATTGACAATTTGTTTTGGGCCTCTTTAATTACATTAAAAGCAAAATGTCAGGAAATGTGAGTGAAACTACTGAATTTACGGATATGTAGAAATTTTCAACGTTTCATTTAGGGCCCATTTACATAAAATTATATCTACCGCCCCAGCCTGACGATAAGAACAGAGACTCTAGTTTCAAGACTTCATTGAACGTGTATGTCGGCAATTCGCGTAGTATGTGACATCTAATGCATCAGAGCGGTCTGCATTATTCAGCTACATATTGCAACCTTGTTGTCATATCAAAAATAGTCTTTCCTGAACAGTCTGAGAGGCCACAATGTATTCCTATATGCTATGCTACCATATACCTATAATGCGTCATCTCAAGAATGAGACGTCAACAGACCTAATATTTTCTTCGGTTGCCATCCACTAACTCCCTTTTACCTAAGATATTCATCCCAGTAAATATGACATGCTTCTAAAATATTTACGTGTATTACTAGACAAAATGTTGAGATCTTATTCTAAACACAACTTCCGTTATTCTCATCTCGAAATTTGACACGGCCGCCAAGCTTTAATGTCGATGAAGAGTTGAAATCAGCAGGCGTGGACTTTCAAACCAAGTTACAAAATATACGTGGGGCCGCGCCATAGCTCAAACGGTTAGTCGCTGGCTTCCCAACGCTGCGGCTCGGGTTCGATCCCGGGTCTGCGCAAGTGGGATTTGTGGTGGAAGTGGTGCTGGGGCAGGTTTACTCCGAGTACTCCGGTTTCCCCTGCCAATCTTCATTCCACCAATTGCTCCACAATCATCCTCACCTATCAACTAGGGCTGGTACAATAGGCCAGAAGTGGCCGCAGCACAAGGGACTTAGTCCCACCCCGCTAGCAATAGGAAAAAATAATACAAAATATACGTAGTTAAATATTAGTATTTATAACATATTTTATAATACATAATATCGAGAGGGTCACTCGAAGTAATACGTAACACAAAATGTCATCCAGATAAGTTAGCAGGTTATAATTTATTGCAATTTGACCGTAGGTTTCCTAAAATGATCACTTATGTATTTAGTTGCTTTAGATCCTTCTCACATTTAAAAATTCTTCCTTTGAATTTGTGTACTGAATATCTGGCACCTAATGATATGCGTACTTTTTGTAACTTGTATAAAATATTTCAACTTTCAGTATCAACAATATTTTGAATGACTTCAAAGTGCATCATATGAAACCACAAGGCAAAATATTACATTGTTTTTCTAATTACATTTGAGATTTTTCTTTTGTACCGATTTCTACCATTAAGGGAGAAACATAGACTGAGGGTGTTTGAGAACAGGGTGTTGAGGAGAGTATTTGGACCGAAGAGAGATGAAGTGACAGGAGGTTGTAGAAAACTGCATAATGAGGAACTTCATAACTTGTACCCTTCTATAAGTATAATCAGAATGATCAAGTCAAGGAGGATAAGGTGGGCAGGACATGTAGGACGAACAGGGGAAAAGAGAAATGCATGTAGGATATTGGTGGGAAAGCCAGAGGGAAAGAGACCACTGGAATGACCAAGGAGTAGGCGGGTGGACAATTTTTAAATTGATCTTAGAGAGAATTGGATGGTATGGATTGGACTGATTTGGCTCAGGATAGGGACCAGTGGAAGGCTCTTGCGAAAAAGATAATGAACTTTCGGGTTCCATAACATTCTGGGAAATTCTTAGCTATCTGCAGAATTAGCGGCTCCTCAAGGAGGGCTCAGCTCCATGCGTAAGTAAGTACCGATTTGTACCTTGCAGTCGTATTTTGGTTCTGTTACTTCATCCTATTTTCCTTACGGATCATCAAGCTCTGTAATAAGTAACCAGCCTATCTGTAGACATTAAAACTTTTAAACGAACAATGTCGCAAATTCTTCCACGAGGTTTTTGTTTTCTGTGATCCTCATGTCGCCTTCACACGAATTTCCTGATCCTTTTACAGCTCCCTGAAAAAGTTTTCGACAAACGCATTTAGGGTAATACATCTTACTACTAACAAAAATAATCAAAATTAGAGATAATACACTCTGTAGGATTTTCAGATAAAGTTTATACATTTTATTGATTTCTCCAGTTTATCTCATGTAATAATTTTTATTGCATAAGTTCCATTGGAGCTTCGTGTAAAGTAGGTACTACAGGGGGTCCAAACATAATAAATAAATTTCCCCCCGATCAATTTGAATACAGAAAAATACAAATTTTATGGAAACCCGTTGTTTTGGGGATGTCACCCTTATAAATAATAGGGGAGTGATATAATAATCCCATCTGCCTTTGCTTTTCATATTCGTTGTAAAACCGTGAAATATAGCTGATGATTTGAAACCTTTTGAAAGACAACAAATATTTTGTTAGATCAAATGCTTTGACATGCGCAGCTCATGAAATCATCATTCTATTATTCAAGAGTTGTTAGTGTTAAAAATTGCTGATTATCTGGTCTGTACATTTTAATCAGACACAATCTTGTTTGTGTCTGTCATGAACACAACGTAGGCCTTGAAACAGATATTGATCAGAGTACGACAGCAGTGACGCATGTCTGTTATGACGTGTCTATGGTTTTACCACGCTTCGTTCTGAATAAGCTCGTATAGGCTTAATGTTTAACTAATGAACGAATTGATTAACTCATCTGGTTCAAAAGTTGATTGTTATTCAGCTGATCACAATGCTTTTTGTTTTCATTTAACCCGAAGATTCTTCGTCGTATTCATATAACACAGCCACTGGACTTTCTCCTGCACCAGCTCAGCCCCGTCCTTACTATTTCTGAAAGTTGTCGATATATGTCATTCTTATTAGTACACATAGTCATATTGTGACTTAGTGTCCTACTGCTTGGCAATGGCTCAGTTTGCACATTCCCACAGAGACAGCTTCTTGCTGGGTTATGCGTACACCAGTATGCGATAATAAAGCACATGAATTGCTAAGTCGGAACAATAAATACGCGACAAGAATAATATATGTTTTCTATGTGGTCCTCACCGTGACTCTTTGCTAGGCAACAGCGCGGTAACACGCATCTACAGCAATAGAGGAGCTTTTTTCTTCTGTGTTACGCGGTCCGTTCCGTGACTTTCTAAGGGACAAAATTTGAAGGAGTAGTTAGTTTATAAGATAGGCATGATCTACTCTGCAAAGCCTGTAATGACAGGAAACTTTTGTATATTGCAAAGGAAGATTTTCAATATGTGCGAAATGTGCACATGACAAAATGACATTCATCTTCTCATCAGAGAGGGTGCTACATAAGGACTATTACCGCAAGGGTTCAGTTGAGTCTCAAGGGGCTTGTCGCCCAGACGAACTGATTGGCGATAAACCGCCCGTTGTGCAGTACTCGTAACTTTGACCTTGACTTTGATTTTGACTTTGGCTTGAGTAGTCAGTTGCCAGTAGGAGATAGCCACGGGAAGATAGTAACTGAGGAAGAATAAAAGTCAGCCTGTGAAAACTTAGTATGTGATTAGTAGATTTAGTCACAGTGAGACTCTTTTAATTCCGTTACCAGGATACGACTAATAAACACTGGGAATTCTAGTGCGTGTGTAACGGTGAACTGTAAATTGTGTAAATCAGCAATAGTGCTGTATTGATTGTAAGTATGAGTTGAATGTAAAAGGTGTTAATAAATCCAATCACCCAATCCAGAACCTGTTATTGTTAGTCACGGAACCACGGACACGTGACAATATTAATTTCAATGTAATTGTTTTTCATTCTGATCAACAAATAAATATAACAATGTGTACAGACTTTCTATTTATATTATTTTAGTAACTTACATGTATTACCTTAGGCTAACGTATTTATTATTGCAGAATTTGAAATACAAAGTTTTCTTTTGACTGGTTTATAATATATAATTAACTGCTTTAAAGGAAAATAGCTCTTTCGTAAAACGCGAGTTTATCTCCTACAAGTAGACCTATATTTGCTAGTCAGTTCAGGAACACAGCATATTTTAATTATTTCTAAGTATCTTCTTCATTTGATTCTTAAAATCCTTAATAATAGCAGGGTGTATACACACGAGATGGCTGCAAAGCTTATGGATTCAGCGCGCCTTAAGTTCAAATCTGATTTGAGCAAAAGCCTAGCGAGCCTTCTGGAGTGTCCTGTCTGCTTCAACTTCATGGCCCCCCCGATCACCCAGTGTTTGAACGGACACAACATCTGCTCTAGCTGCAGGCCTCGACTCGCTCTCTGTCCCACATGCAGGTATGAAGCCACGTAAAGCACTCTATTCCTGACATAGGCATCTTGCTTGGTCTGCTAAACAGATATATCCCAATTGAACGGGGTTTCCTTTCCGGAATACGCTTAAATCGGACACAATTTCACCCCATACGTATATCTGTTGCTAAAATGTAGAATTACTTTAGTCATGATAATTTTTTCTGTGGTATTCTTGGAAGATGTGTCCTTAAAGTGAATAGAAACTGTTTCCGGTTGGGTAGACACCTTGTCAAATATATAAGGACTATTTTTATCATCAGTCCTATATAAGTGAAAACAAAAATTGCGCAGCTTGATATTCACGTGTTTGTTTTCAGGCAGTCCCTGACGATCACATCCAGGAACGTGGCGCTAGAGAACATAGCCGAAACAATTGTAGACAGTCACAGCAACAAGCAGTTGAGTGTGTCATTACCACAACACAGGTATCTTTCATCCTGATTTCTTTATATATCACTGAAGCCCATGCTATATTCCATCCATCCACCCATCAATCCATCTACCTACCTATCTGTATATATATATATCTACACGTATATATCTACCTGATTTCCCTAATTTTTTCTCTCTGTTCTGCTTTTCATCCCTTCTCCTTTACCCCTCCATTTATCTCTGGCTGGTGTTACGTTGTGAGTAGAAATTTATGGCAACGAATGAAACTGGCTAAAGCAATTCTGGTACCGTTGCAGGTTGTACGAATGTCTGACAGGGAAGTCTATGGGTTGCACGTGGAAGGGCCGACAATCGGATCTGTGGTCTCATGTTCTGCTTAAGCATCATCGTTCGGCTATGCACTGGAAGAGAGAGATACGATTGTTTCGGGTTTCGAACCACGACTTCAGCGTTAATGGTACCAGCACACTACTTATTTCAGTTTTTGACCAACTCTTCTGGTATCAACTCCGACAGGACTCGAGTAAGAACAGATGGTGTCAAGCTATACAATACATTGGTTCAAAGAAGCAAGCTGTGACATACAAGTACACTTTAGAATTTGGTCCAGTGCCCGATGACTCTCTGAAGAGGACCATAGTATACAGCAGGGCGACGCATCCCGAAGAGGAACACATCGACAACATCTTTAAATCATCAGACTGTTTCTGCACCGATCTGAACAGCATTAAATATTTCGTTGCGAGAAATAATTCCCTGCAGTTCAAAGTGAAAATAGAAAGAATGTAAATAAATAGGCATATCACAATTTGTGAGCTAGTTACACTCTTGGAAAATTATTTGTAAATCGAACACTGTTTCCCAGAAAATCAAACTTAAATTGCAGTTACATGCCTAAGAAAATATACTTGAGTGAAAACCTCATTTTATTCTCTGTTTTTTATTTAAAAGTATACCGTTTAAGTAGCATAAATGCAAGAAATCAACTTAATATGAAATTAAATACTGAGTCAAGTCTAAAATATTAACTACCGTATTTACGCATGTATAGGCCGCAGCACAATTTTCAGACAGAAATTATAGAAAAAATAATTTTCTTGGAATATTATTTCAGGAGTAGAACATCCTGTATTACTAATTATGAATATAATTTTTTTAAATGAAGTGTGCTTTCGAATATTTCGAATATAAGCCGCACCCCAGTTTTCCTCTTGAATTTTTGGCAAAAAATGTGCGGCCTATACATGCGTAAATACGGTATATGTTGGCATATGAACCCATTTCTATGCGATGACCGCGAAAGAAACAAGAACACAGATGTTGCTAGGCAGCAGATTCTCAACAAGCAAAACCAGAGGAATTATTGGAAGTGGTGTTTTCTGTGGTCCGCTACACAACGGCGCGATTAACACGCCTCTGCAACAGTTGAATTACAACAACAGAAGAGCTGTGTTTCCTACATGGTCCGTGCCGAGTTGTTATCAACTGGAAGAGTTTAGAACCTAGTTCAGCTAAGGGGTGTGTGCCACACGGTAAGGATTTAAGCGGATTGTGCTAAAACCCGTTACCAGAAAATTTCTAGTGAAGACTGAGAAGACTTTTTATGTCCTGTAGTTACAATGATGTTTCGAGCGTGTAATTTAGTGAGTCTAGGAGGTTGGTGTGAGGTAGCCGCCAGCCTGAGAGTTAGTGAGGGAGCTGCAGTTCAGCTTTTGTGAGCAGTTGCTATTAGAAGCTGGTAGCCGATATACGGGGATAGTTCGAGAACCCAAAGTAAGGGAAATGTCCGCCGTTGGACGCAGTTACCAGGTTAACGACTAGGAGAGGCGGTAATAGACTAATTACACTAGTCTTTGTGAGTTAGTGGTTTGTAGAGTGCGTATGTCGTGATAACGCTATAATTAAGTGTAATTACGAGATGTGTGCTCCAGTGGTCAATAAATCCAATATCCAATCCAAGACCCCGTTGAGAATCACCCTTACACGTGACAACTGGCATCAGAAGTGGTTGGATTGGAGCCCGCAGTAAGAGGTTATACAGCCACACTACGCCTACTGGCCAAGATGGACGCCAACCAAGTTAAAACAGGCGCCAAACAAGCAAAAATATACGCATATACAAGGGGAAAGAGAGGAGACATGAGAGCTGGCCAAGAACTCCTGAAAGAAGACATGCTGGCCAAATTAGATGCCCATCACGAACGGATGATGGCCAGGATGGACTCCGAGCTAAAGGAAATGGAGGCCTGTTTAGGAAAGGAGACCACGGATTTGGAGGAAAATCCGGAAGAGTAGTCCAATGCAGTGCATGAAGTTGTCCCTAAAGAAGAGGCCGCAAGGAAAACAGAGCACTGAAGGAGCTGTATTGAGAATGGCGTCTAGCCGTATGGTGCAGCAGACAGCCGAAGAAAGGCAATGACAATGTTGTACGAGGAACCCGGAAAGGACGGACATTCGTAAAGAGATGTCGGGAGAATCCGAAAGGAAACAACGACATAAGGAACCGAGGTCTCAAGGAACAGTTACGGCTGAGGAAGGAGAAGCTATCCGGCAGAATTTCCAGGATGACCGTAGGGCTGGAGATCGCACAGCAGACAATCGAAACTTCCACAAGACTACTGAAAATGAACTACCACTCTAGGTAGTCCTGCCCCCACCAATTGGTAAATCGGGATATTTGTGTTACACCGAAACCAGCTGGAAACTTCATAAATGTTGTTCTATAAAGAGTCGACATTTTTAAATAAGCCTTGAGTGACGGCAGTTACGATATAACGAGTGAAATTTTCATTGTTACGTGACTGTACCTAGACCTTGTGAGTCTTGTGACCTCTCAGGTTCAGCTACATAGGCTTCTTACTGGTACAATATTATTATAAGGGCACTGGAATCGCAAAGCGTTTTACAAGGTAATGTTTTACAATGGATGTCACAAAGAGAACGGAAAGCTATAACTTAAACGTGCATGAGTTACAATATGATTATACAGTATATAATACTCATCACGCAGTGCGATATATTAACGCGAGACTTACGATCCTGTCCTGGTATTATTCTTACGACTGATATATACGTTTCTATTTATGTTAATTACATTTCACGTTTTATGTCGTCCCAGACTTACAAGTATACACACTGATGCTCTTACAGCATATAAGCTACTTTATAATTGGGAAGTCAAGGAACAGATCCTCTGTTGTACTGCATTAGTGGCGTGCAGTGAACTACGAAAATAAAATTATTACATTTATCCCCTTGGGCTGGATGGCCCGTGTTCGATTCAAGACATGTCAAAATTGTTATCTTCTCTACAGCATCTAGATACTGAGGTCCACCCAACCTCCAATCCAATAGCTACCGGGGGCGATTTTCCTAGAGATAAAGCGGCCTGGGCGTGATGCTGACCAGTATGCAGCAGTAGTAGTAGTAGCAGTAGCAGCAGCAGCAGCAAAATATCTAGGTTACGGACAATGTTGAAATTATAAGATATTGTTAAATATTTACTGTGCTTAATTAAACACACTGTCTCGAAGACAAACTGACAATTTGAGCTCCCTGTAACTCCATTCAGTCATAATCAACATAATAATGATTGCTGAGTTTCAGGCTGTGACCAGTTTATTCTAGGGAAAGAGCTCCCACTCCCAGGATCGATTGGATATGAGATTGGGCAGGTTCCAGTGCTGCTCCTGAAGCGGTGAAATCCCTGCTCCTACCGGAAGTGGAGGTATTTAAACTGATCTTGCAGAAAAAAGATGTGAAGATAACGGATGGATTTAAATGGTTTCGGATAGCGTTCACGGTGACAAACCTTCGTGTTTCCATAAAGTGCAAGCTGGATAGGGAGTGTAGCATATATGAGGAATCAAGAAATGTCTTCCAATTTTTGGTTTGAAAACTTTGTGGAAAAGACATTTTCGGAGACCCAGACATAATTTGAGGGTAACACTGAGATGGATCTGTAGAAAATAGAGTATGTGGGTGTAAAGTTGGCTCACCTTGGTCAGGGCAGGTTACAGTGGAGAGCTATGGTAAACACGTAACTATTTTTCGGGAAAGAAAAGGTGCAAGGAAATCCGACGTCTATCAGCTTCTCAAGAGGTGGTATGCATCATGAAGTTCGTACAGTGAGGAAGTGTTATCTTGTACTGATTTCACTCTCAGCTACAGGTTAGCTAAGGCAATGTTGTCCCTGTACTTAATTCAATAAACACCACACCATGAAGACTTATGAGGAACTAGAGGTACAGCTCCGTACATTCTTAACCTCGACATTGAGTGGTCAGCTTCACATTTCGGCAGTCTTGTGCGCGTGGGAAGATTCCGCGGTAACCATTGGCTAGGAAGCTGAGAGGGCCTCAAAAGAGTTTGGACACTGCATAGACTAGAGAAACCTCTTGTCCCTGCAGGGAATTCAACCCCGATTATAGGGTTCCCGAGTCACTATAACCGCTGACCTGTCCCTAAGGCAGATGTATATGACAGGTATGTTGTAATTTGGTGCTGACAATTATCACTAAACACCTACATGTTTCAGGTACCGCAAAAAGCAATGGAATATGCTCGCTTTGCGAAGTGGTCCGCTATGCGTGTATTATCATGTGACTGGTTACAGCACAAACGAATGAATGAACGGCACAGGCTCCCATTTAGACACAGCTGCAACACGCAGCGGGACGGCAGTTCGGTATCAGAGCAAGAGGCACGCATGTCTCACTGTGTTACAATTTTGCGTGACTTCAGGACACAGATATATGTACTACGCTATGGACTAAGGTACAGAGGCGGTTTTATTGGATCGTCGTTGGACTAGATCAGCTGTGTCAAACATGCGGCCCCCATAGCCACAGAGTGCGGCCACTCAACTTTTAGAGCTAATTGACATTAAAATCAATATTAAAATTTTAGTATAAATATTTTTTGTAAATATAATTTCCCAACAGACCAGAAGACAAGAAGTCTCACGCATACATAAATAGCAGGATGAGGGAAATTCAATATTTTGCTATTTCTAACATAATTTCTTGTGTAATCTCTCTTTTTACATATTGAAAAGCTGTTTGATACTTGTCAAAAATGGCATTCTCTTGCTTTTTAAAACTGTAAGATATGTGACTTTACGCAATTATATTGAAATTATTCCTAAATAATAAATACAATTAAATTTCCTTGTATCAAAATCTAATGTATATTTCTATTTTGAAGTGCGGCCCTGGACTATTATTTATAGGGCTGAGGTGGCCCTCTGTACAAGTTGAGTTTGACATGCCTGGACTAGATCAACTAATTAATTAACCATATAACTAACAAAACAATCAATTAAAGAATTTCATTTTGTATAATCTTTCTTGTTGCGGTGATAGTGCAGTCTGTAGAGAGTCTAGCTACGGGATGGACGGCCGAAGTTCCGAAGTTTGAGTCCAGCTAAGGGCAAGAATTTCTCTTCCACTTAGAAGAATGCAGTCTTCTGGGATTTGGCACCGTGTATATGTTAACACCACATATACACGGTGCCNCAGGTTCTGGAGTCACCCAGCCTCCTATTCAATGGGTATCGCGGTCTCTTTCAGGAGGAGTAAGGCGGCTGGGGTATGAAGCTCACCACTCACCTCTAGCTAATGCCGAGGTCAAGAAAAATGGACCTATATATCCATTCCCTCCTACTCTTTAATGGCATTAAGCACAGGGGAAAAGTTACCTTTTTTTTAATGATCTTAGATAGTTCCTCGGATGACCAAGAAAAAAATACCATATTTTATGAAACACGAAGATTCAGTATCGTATTTGTAGTTGTCCGCCTATGGACCATGTGCTGAGTCAGCTAAATCCAAATAAGAAACAGCCTCGCGCACTCCTATCTTCTGCTCTATATGGATGTCAGTGGTCCGTTTCCCTTTCCGAAGGACTGTCCTGTGGAAAGACACCTCGTCACCCTTTCGGTATGGAATTTGGTTGTTTCTAGTCTCCGTCTGGAGGTGACGGAGAAGAGAAAATCTCGTCTGCTGGTAAACGAACCCCAGTCGTCCAGTCCGTAGCCAGTAGCTCTGTATGTCCCAAGCTCGACCTGGAAATGATCACAGAAATGAAAATTCCTGTCATTACAGCGAACTGAATACCTCTCATCCTGTCCTTAGTGGTAAGTGCAATTATTTATGGTGAAATATGGTACGAAATTTTCTGCTACCAAAACGAAAATACGTAGTTGCATTTAAAGGAAAAATATATGTAGCACTTAGAGCCGTGTAACTAAATAAACCTCTTACGAATATATCTCAGAAGTAGTAAAACAAGTTTGAGGAGTAAATATTTGAAACTGTATAAAATATTGAAGAAGCAGTCTTCTGGGATTTGGCACCGTGTATATGTGGTGTTAACCGACGTTTCGGAGGAACGTATCGCCTCCATCTTCAGGGNGCAGAAAGCAGATAAAATGACTGAGCCTAGAGGAAGGAATGGAAATACAATAAAAATTTAGTGTGAAATTATAATTGAACCAGACAAGCAGTTCAGAAATGTCAAGAAGAAGTTGGAAATGCGATTTTGAGACCGGTACGAGTGTTGAGGTGTCTGTTCCATTGACCTAAGTGCATTTTCTGCGTGACGATGAGACGCGGCCAATTGCTCTTCGAACATCAAGAACTGTAGCCCCGTAAAGACTTCAGTTCAAGTGGTAGAGGATGTGACCACTGACCCTCTGCCCGCAACGATATTATTTTACTTTTTAACTCCGAAGCGCCGACCCAAAATATTTGTCACGTGACTGCGGAACTGCTGGTCATATCTCTCGGTACCTCTCTCTTTATAATATTGTCACGTGTAACAGTGACTAAAGACGGAGTTCGGATTTGTAATTGGATTTATTGACCACTTACAGCTCGTAACTACAATTAATTCTTACGCTCTTGCTGATTTACATAATTTACAATCACTCCACGCTAATCTTTTCAGTCTATTTCCACTGGTTTTCACTTTCCATTTCCTGGCAATGGATTTATAACACAGAAACTATAAAAGTCTCACTAAATTACACACTCACAATATCGATGTACTACAGCACATGTAACGTCACACACTAAGTCTTCTAATTCTTCTTCTGGCCACACTGCTGTTCCCTTGGAACTTCGGAACTCAAGTGAAGTCCATATATTACTCACTCCTCCAGGTTATGACTGCACACAAACAGCTTTTGTTGTCCCCTATAAACCTTCGGTGCGGACCTACAGAAAATATATTTCCACTACTGTTGAGTGACGTCACCGAGAATATGTAAATGTGTTTGCTGAGTCGTTAACTGACAAGGCGTTACAATATTTTATTACGCTGTGTGGCGGGTCGACGTTGAGTAGTGTCGAAAGAGATGACTATGATTAACTAAGGTCAGAACTCGTTCTAGCCCTGGTTTCTCTTGACAGGTCTAAAGGGCTATAGGTCCAAACTCTACATTCTACAATAATTAAATTGCATGCTTATTATAATAAACTCATAAATATATATTAACTTACCAAATGCATAATTAGTTCTAAAAGTTTCAGACAGTGATAATATTATTTTAATTATTATTACTGAATTTATTAAACTCATAAGTTTTATGCTTTGCACGTGGACAGAGACAGAGCCAGTCTCCGAATCATGGTAGTTCTTAGAACTCTAGATTTTACAGTAAACAGTATGGAGTTCAAATTAAGGGGCGTGATGACGATGATGATGACAGTGATAATTATAATTTGATTATTTATTATGACACTTAGATTTATGTTAATGAAATTATTATTATTGCTATTTTTATTATTTGTTTGTGTGTTTGTTTACTTTTCTTCATTATTGTGATTTTCCCAGTACTTGCCTGTAATTTGTCTTTGACTTATAATGTGTTTGTCTATAATTACTTTCATGTACACTGTGCTCTGTCTGTAATTGGCCTTGCGGCTGTTGACTCGGCACATAAATAATAAATAATTGAATTGAATTATTCAATTCTGTATTATTTATGTGCCAAGTCAACATCTGCAAAGCCAATTACAGACAGATCACAGTGGATACTGGTAATTATATTATGGGCAAACAGAATATAAAGTAAAGTAAAAGTAAAGTAAAACTATCCCTGTACCAGGCCGTGAAGGCCCATAGGGTTGTGAGACATTGAGGGTCCTACATTATCTAGACAATTGGCTCAAAGATGGCGGTAAGGTTGTCAGCCTTACGCGCCGGCCGCGCTTTACTCCCCAGGAAGATTATTTAATTAATTCCTTTACTCATTTCTGTTAGAGGCTGAGTCGACCCCAAGGCTATAATGCGGCCGGAAGGATTAGATCAATTGAAAAAAATCCAATGACTTCATCAGAACTTGAACCCGCGACCTTCCGGCTTGTAGCATAGTGGCCAAAAACAAATTACAGGCAAGCACTGGAAGACAGAACACATTAATACAGAAAAAGTAAATACAAAGAAACAAATATGAAGATGGGTAACAAGAACATGATAACTAAGAAATACAAAACACAGAACATTAGGTTTATGAAAGAATATTATTAAAAATTTTAGGTTGATGAGTATAAGTGTGACAGAGAAACGGCTCCAAATACACATATGTCGAGATCTTTATACCCAATGCGCTGACAACATAATAATAATATCAGTTTTATAGGTCTGATCACGTGGGATTTGTGGTGAACAGAATTTTAGTGGGACAGGTATTCTCAGAGTTCTTCGGTTTTCACTGCCAATTCTCATTCCACCAGCTGCTCCATATACGAGTACAATATTCACTTTGTCACCAACGCTACAATGTCGATAATGGCAGCGTCGTTAAACACTGAAAGAAAAAGAAAAGAAATAATAATAATAAAAATAACAATATATTGATATTTGTGATGATTGTGATGGTGAAAGTGGCAATATGTACTTTCCACATAGAATTCTGTACTGCTGCTTTAAGTTTCCAACGGTTTTTCTTTCTTTCTTAATGCGGTGTATTAAGGCTGCTTCTCAATTACATAAGTTACAGTCGAATGGGACAATCATAAGAATGATGAATTGGGAAAGACGAGGAAGGAAGCCGCAGAGGTATGTGTTTCGGTATGTCTCACAGTTCCAGGACCGGCATCACTTCAGGATAGCCGACCTCTGGACCGAGAACTGAGTCAGATACTTCTGAAATGAGAAATTAGGGCGTTTTGATAACAACAAATTGTTCGAGCCTTAATTCAAAATATTACAGAGGACACACTAGAATATGTTTTGGAGCCTGGGGCACTCAGTCTGCACAGCGACTGGACTACAGGCTGGATGATCAAGATTCGATTTCTAGGAAGCCTACATATGTTTCTTTTCACTACACCGACCTGACTGATTCTAAGGTCTACCAAGCATCAAATCAAATGAATACTGGGGGTTGTTCCTCTGGGATAAACGGGCGGGAGCGTGAAGTTGACTATTCACCTTCATCTAGAATCGAGATTAAGAATTGGGGTGAGGATGAGGGGAATTTTTGCACTTCCGCCATATTTTACTTCTTAATGGCGCGATGTTTAAGTAAGCACAGAGACGGTTTTACGTTGTTATGGAATTAACAGCTTTTCTTACTGTCGTGATTAAACTTAGTTGTGAAATTAGGTCTATGCAAATATTATCAGGCCTATCATGAATAAAGAGTAAAATTCACATTCTGTACGTTTGATTATTAACCCAGTCTAGCAATTTCTTTGCAACAATTGACATCCGCAGTCCACGAAACTGAAGTACACGTGTATTATCACTTTTCAGTGAAACTTGGAAAATAAATAAGCCACGGAAGTAAATTTTTCGAACAGAAACATTGCGATCCAGCTTTACGGGTACACATGTTCAGATAGTAGCACAAAGGGATTCCCTTTTTTAAGCAGATTTGTTAAGGGTGACTATTTCTAGGAATAATATAAAAAACAAAAAATAGAATTAGAGAAACAGAGATGCCGCAGAACTCTATTATGTCTAAAGTACGAGTATGGGAGGGGAGGGGATTTTTTTCGCTTTGTATGTACTGGGGGAAGGCATGTGTAGCTTATGAAAAGAAATCACACAAAATAGTGTGGCGATTAGGTGATTTGTATTACTGAGTAGCAGTTAATGAGAAATAGGAATTCAAATAATCAAAGATTTAGTTTATCATTCCTTTAGACGATCTAGTAAACTTATGCAGACTTCAAGTACACCAGCGAAAGATTTAATGAAATTGTAACTTTCTTTGCTTTTAGTTAGTCGATAGTTTACAAGTAAATAAATGTTCATAATTTTAGTGTATAATAGAGGGTGCGGTTTTTGTTCAGATATTTTAATATTTTATTATGGATAGTGACATGTAGCGTTACATAAATTTGGAACAATTTATTATATTCGATATTAACTATATTTTTGTATGTAAATTGAATTCAGGTCTTCTGCAAAAAAAAAAAAAAAAGAAAAGATATTAATGACAATTTCTTCCTTCCTAGTATAACGTTCGTCTTTTGTTAAATTTGTTACCACCTTCACCTCTACATTCATTTGTTTCTCGAATACAATACAAGATGGCCTCCTTTCAGACAGGTGGAGAATATAGGAAGAAATACAGCACTAAGAAGAAAAATGAAGAAAACGACTCAGGAGAGGCTGGTAGTGGATGTGGGGGAAGGAAGGGCTGAGGAGAAATTGAAGACATAGAAATAACACGACGGTTCATTTGTCAGACGCCTTCCGCTCTTCATTTCGCAACTCGTTTGTAATTTGGAGTTGAGCCACAAGAGTGCGCGCGAGTTCTGTAATGGAGCGTGGAACTGAACAGAGACCCCCTGGAAAGAGGATAGAGAATGAAAGAGGAATGATGAAAGAGAAGGGAAATAAATGGAGAAATGAGACTATTTTTGTAATGAAGAATAATTCGCAGTACGAGGTTTAAAATTACATTCAAATAAAGATAAGTGCCGGTACCAGGGCATTTGTGGTCAACCCATTTCATTAATTTCAAAATACCAATTTTACCGTACGACAGGTGATATGTTCTCACAAACAGATGGATATACGAGCACGGGGCATTCTTCAGGGAAAAGTAAAAGTTGAATACGCGCAAAGACGGTTACCAAGCTACAGGCATCAGAATCAGAATCAGAATCAGAGTTACTTTGCGACTGAGGGGTTTAACCCAATCAGTTCATTCTGGCGCCAGGCATCAGATAAGAACACGCTGATTTATAATATATAAAATGAAAGAAGTTCTGACAAGAACTGTTCGTCTACTTCTATTTGATACATCACGGGCCTTATGGAAAACGATGCGTCCAATAATTCTTCCATTGTTGCGTGTGTATTCTTTGTCGCGGTAACGATTTTACCGAGCCATTGCCTAGCAACGATAGGAGGTATAAAATACAGACACGTACACTGATCTGATGGGAGGGATTTACGAAGTACTTCCTTAAGATGGGTTCAAGTTCCATGGTACACTAGCACATTTCAAGTTAATGGGGGGGGGATTCCTTGACATAGATACACATAGATAGCAAGATAATTTCATAAGCCTAATTTTACTTTTTCAAAATGAGGAAAAGAAGCTAAAACCGATAAGCCTATTTGTGAACTGAATACATTAACAAATAATATAATATTGGATTATATTGTCTCGTATATGAATGACTCATAGACGGGGTTTGGATTGATAATCGATTTACTGACCGCTTTTACATATAACTCGTAACTACAAGTATTTATAGCGCCATCTCTAATCTACTCACTTTACAAATCATTAGAGCACAGGCTGCTCGTTCCCTGGAAACGGATCTTAACAATGGGGATTCATAAGCTTCTATACTCACGTCCTTGCCCGCTGGCTAATACTCCAAAACTGAACTGAGGTTCCAACTGGGTCTTCTCTCCACAGACTTCCAGATTGCTCCAATTGTTCTGCACATAACATCTCAGCACAGACCGCGCAAAAACGCCATTTTGAACAGTTTTTCTATTGTTGCGTGTATATTCATTGCCGTGGTAACGTGCTAGTTTTGCCGTCGTTACCTGGTAACAGATCTACACGCTACAATATAGAATAATAAAACAGCCCAATGGTTCGCTGAACATTACTCCAGATACCACACGACATTAAACATTAGCTTCAAAGTAGGTCTTATGTCCTTTTATAAATATGGCCTGGGCTGTTATTAGAAATGTTCCAAATAATCATCAATAATCCATATTTCGCTTAAAAATACAAAGAGTATAGTTAAGGTGCCGGTCACGGTAGCCGAGCGGTCTAAGGCATGCACTAGCTTCACTCGCTCGGAAGCCGGGATCGTGGGTTCGAATCCCACTCAGGGCATGGATGTTTGTGTGCGTTTTTCTGTGTTTGTCTACAGGTAGAGGCCTTGCGACGAGCTGATCACTCTCCCAAGGAGTCCTACCGTCTGTGTAAGATCTAGTAAACCGAAGTGAAACGGAGAGTTTCATGGAGGTAGGCCTAGGCCCAAATTGGGGCTGTAGCGCCACAGGAAAAAAAAATAGTTGAGGTAACGTTAAAGTTATTCCCGTGCTTAACTAATTAAGCACTACGCCATGAAGAGTTATGAGGGAGTTGTATAGATTCACATATTCTTGACATCGGCACTACTTGGAGGTGAGTGGTCAGCTTCACAACCCAGCCGCTTTACCCCCTGGGAAAGAGTTCCCGGTGTTCATTGGATAGGAGACTAGGTGGACCCCGGAATCAGTCTGGACGTCGTGGAGAGTAGAAAAATCATGCTCCTACAGATACTCGAATACAGATTCCTTGGCCGTCCAACTTGCAGCCAGTCGCTATACCGATTGAGCTGCGTAGTTTGATTACAAAATTCTAGTACCCCTTATATGACAAGATCGGAACAATGTGAATGTAAATAATGACGATGTTGCAAATAGCGGTAACATGGCCACGCTACATTGCATCCGTACTTTTTCATAAACCACAAAATAGAAACTAAAATTCTGTTACATATATATGGCGAAATAATGGAGATTTCAATTCTTACATTGCCTGTACCGATATTTTAAATGTTCGTTTATCTCAGAAAAACTCAGAAATATTATCAGTCTAAATTATTATGTCGAAGTCAACAGATACTTATATTCCACGCATAAAAACATCGATGATACTGGTTATGATGATGTCCTAGTGGAAAAGGCCTGCTGAATTTCTACAGGGAATTAATTCCTTCACATGCCCTTGGCTCCCTTGTTCTCCCATTCCTTCTAATTTCGATCCGTTGACACATTAGAACGTAAATTTAAAATTTTGGCCTTCATATGGAACGTTTTCTAACACAGAGCTGCCATCTGTGAACGTACGTGAAAACTACACGCTTTATTAATATCGTAATGTACACGCATATAGTCAGTCATATAGGTATGTGTAGATTATGGTAGTAAAAGTAAAGCTATCCCTGTAACAGGCCGTGAAGGCCCATAGGGTTGTGAGACGTTGAGAGTCCCAGATTATCTAGACAATCGGCTCATAGATGTCGGTAAAGTTGTCAGCCCTACGCGCCGGCCGCCCTTTACTCCCCAGGAAAATTATTTAATTAATTCCTGGTACCCATTTTTGTTAGAGGCTGAGTCGACCCCAGGGCCATAGTGTGGCTGGAAGGATTAGGCCAATTGAAAAAATCCAATGACCTCATCGGGGTTTGAGCCCTCGACCTTCCGGCTTGTAGCGTAGTGCCTCAACCAACTTAAGGTTATGGTAGATGGTTCGAAAATTCCCTTTAATTACCAGACTACCAACAAAAATGAAATGCTCTGCTTATTATACCTTCTAGAGACATGAGTGACTGTGAAGTGGTTCCGTCCAGTTAATAGAAATAGCTTACCCCGCAGCTTGCTCACATTTCTAGTGGGAGCTGCAATGACCAACCAGCTTATGTCAAATTGCGTCTTGATGTTTCTGCAGTAGACGAGAGAGTATAAAGAGACTGACAGAGAGATGAGAAGAAGAGAGCTGAAACGAAAGGATGAGAGATCCCAAACAAGGTTGAAGAATGAGTACTGACAGCAAAAGTGTAATAACTGAACAGCATCGGTATTAGTACTATGTTTCGAAACGTCAAATAATATCAAAGGAAACATGAAGCTGTCGTGTGAATGAAACATTCAATTATGTAAACATATGTGACAATGTTTCATTCATTATAGGCTTATTGGGATTATGTTGGACAAGTTCAATATCTGAGTACATTTGCAGGTCGATACGACATTTCAGGAGCTGGTTGTATTCCCGTCTTCATGTGACTGGTTGTCATTATATTGACACACGACATGTTCGACGATAGTTTTTAAGATTGTGATCTTCTCGGATGTGATGCAATCTAGTCTGATAGATGTAAGTTTTGAGGTTTTCACGGCGATGACAATGAAGACAGTTGTCTTCTGGGTTTAGGCACCGTGTATTCTTCGTTTTGGCCGACGTTTCGGAGGAACGTAGCGCCTCCATCTTCAGAGCAGTTGAATAGCACAGCTACTGCCCTCCGCAGCTATTCAACTGCTCTGAAGATGGAGGCGCTACGTTCCTCCGAAACGTCGGCCAAAACGAAGAATACACGGTGCCTAAACCCAGAAGACAACTTTCTTCATTGTCATCGCCGTGAAAACCTCAAAACTTACATNAGTATAATATTAAAGTAAATCTTGGAATAAATATAAAGGGACAGGCTAGAGACCCAATTAAGAATAGAGACAAATGGTTGTTTCTTTTGAACACCGAAATAAGCCTTCGACTTCCAGAATGCAAGGAAGTGACCAATTTTCCGAGGAAGATTTTGCATCAAAGAGTGAAATACGAGTATTTCGTTTAGTTACTTAAGTGAACTTTATTTTCACTATTTAGAGCTACTTATCAGCTCAAATTTGATGATATATAGAAGACTAAACCTTTATAGGAGCGAAATCGGAAGTCATCCGGGAAGAAACAGATAGTAAACGCGAGCTGCCTTCTGCCTTTGATTTGCATATAAAACAAGATAAATTATATCTGTTTATAGGCACCATGCTATGAAGATGTAAGTACAGGGGAAAGCGAAGTAATGCTCAGCGAATCCTCAATCGTGGAAAAGCATGGAGTGGCGTGTTTAGCTTCACGCTACGACTGTTCTACTTTAAGGGAAAGAACCAACAATATGGAAGGAGACTTAGTGGACTGCGCCCTCTTGTTTAAGTTAAAGGTTTAAAGTCCTATATAGAAACCCCGTTTAGAAATGTTCTGCCTTACTTTTTACTGCTTACAAAATAATTTTAATTTATTTCCATAAAATTGGTAAGAGCCATGAAGAACAGCGTTAGTATATAAAATACCTTTAGATCTGTTTCGTGGTGTTAAAAGAGTTCGATGCGTCACATTTCTTTTAAAACTCACTGCATTTGTCCTAAGTTTATATTACGACGATCACATTCCAGAAATTATATAACTGCGAATAAGAAAGAGAAATGACAACGAATAATCGTTTAGAAGGTTAGTTTTTAAGAGGAGGCGATAGGTATTCATTTGGAGACATTTAATCTGCGTGTCCTCCTCGAGGATATGCCTTATTGTAGAGACGAGTTCTGTACATGCCCCAATGAACTATCGAGCTATGCTGGCGGGAGCATAAGGTCCTTGTAGAGCCACCCATGCGAGGCAGGCCGAAGGGTAATGGCCAGACGAAATGTAGTCCCTGGTCCTCCAGGTTGGAGGCTGGACGCGGAGCTTATAAGCCCAACCAGGAAGAGTTTACCGTTACGAAAATTTGGAAGGAGCCAAGCGCCGGTAAAGAAGAAGAAGAAGAATATATTGGAATTTATATGGCGAGAGTGAGGGGAAACTGCGAAAAACGTATGCTAATATAGCCATATTCTGTTGAGTAGTACTACAAATCATGAATCTGTAACTTAAGTTCTTATGAAGCTATAAGCACTCTTGATAAGTAACAATTATTACTAGCGAGATGAGTCGGTATAGTGACGGACTGCAGGCTGGACGGTCGGGTTCAATTTTCGGTAGGGATTTTCTCTTCTCCAGAGAGGTTGGACAGGTACCAACTCCCACCCAACCCCCCATCAAATGGGTACCGGGGGCTTTTTCCATGGGGTTAAGGCGGCAGGGGCGTAAGACTGACCACTCATATTCATCTAGTGTCGAGATCAAGAATGGTGGATCCATAATTCCACTCCCCGCATGTTAATTATGNCAAATTCATTTTCTCATCAACTTCATCATCGTGGAAGTGACGAAATTTTAGTGTGTATGACTTATGAAGGAGTGATATCAATAAACGCTTTACAGGAATTATGGGTCTACATTATTAAGGTCTGTTATATTCCTATCATAATAATAATAATAAGCACTCTTGGATAAGTAACAATTATTACTAGCGAGATGAGTCGGTATAGTGACGGACTGCAGGCTGGACGGTCGGGTTCAATTTTCGGTAGGGATTTTCTCTTCTCCAGAGAGGTTGGACAGGTACCAACTCCCACCCAACCCCCCATCAAATGGGTACCGGGGGCTTTTTCCATGGGGTTAAGGCGGCAGGGGCGTAAGACTGACCACTCATATTCATCTAATGTCGAGATCAAGAATGGTGGATCCATAATTCCACTCCCCGCATGTTAATTATATATGTATAACTCACTATAACTAAGAACGCATTCTAACTCCTACACAGCCTACGATGCTTATTTCAATTAATAGACTCGACAAAATTCACAACGCATTCTGTCGACAACGGCCAGGTACATATGCACTGAGAGTATGTTGATGATAAATGCTTATAGAGCAGTGAATCAGAGGTGGGTTTCGATCGGTTTAGCAGCAATGAAAACCGGCTAAGGTCGCTTAGTGACCTACGTGATGAATGATGTATATATGTACACATAATTATTATTCCTGTACTCATTTGTTTTAGAGGCTGAGTTGATCCCAGTTCCATAGTGCGGCTGGGAGGATTAGGTAAATTGAAAAAG